GCCTGGAACTTACTATGTGACCAAGGATAGCCTTGAACCTTTGATACTCCTGTCTTTGTTTCCTGAGTGTTGGGATTAAAAGGGTTGATCACTATGCCTGATTTGGTTTCTTTTTTGTTTTTTACATTTTTTTAAAGATTTATTTATTTATTATGCATACAACATTCTGTCTCCATGTATGCCCGCACGTCAGAAGAGAGCGACAGATCTCATTATAGATGGTTGTGAGCCATCATGTGGTTGCTGGGAATTGAACTCAGGACCTCTGGGAGAGCAGCCAGTGCTCTTAACCTCTGAGCCATCTCTCCAGCCCCTGTTTTTTACATTTTTTTAGACAGCATCTTGCCAACTAAATTGTCTAACTGGACTTCCTTCTACCTTAGCCTCCTGGAGCTGAGATACAAGGTCTTACCAGCATCCTTAACTGTCTACATGTTTGACACACCTATTTCATGAAGCCCTCCTCCCTCCTCCTTCTCCTCCTCCAATCTCTTGCTGCTCTGGTCCTCATCCCTCCCTTAATCCTCAGGACACTCTCTATTCTGCCCCCTAACATAGCTTTACTTTCCACGTATTTATTATTTTCCTTTGGGTAGAGAATAGATTCACGGAAGGAGAAATCCTGGGTGGCTTTGTTTCCTGAAGAATCTTCTAGTGTGTGTTCACACTGATCTGTTCATGATACTGCTCACAACTGAAGGCTCAAAGCTCATGTACACAAGATCATTTGCATCCAGCTCAAGCACGAGGAGCTAAATTCAGATCTCCAGGGCCCACGGGTAAACTCAACAGCCTCCCTCTGTGTCCTGGTTGGAGTTGCTATGGCGATGATGAACACCATGGCCACAAGCAAGTAGGGGAACAAGGGTTTATTTGGTTTATGCTTCCACATCATAGTTCATCATTGGAGGAAGCCAGGACAGGAACTCAAACAGGGAAGGACCTGGAGGCAGGAGCTGATGCAGAGGCCATGGAGAGGTGCTGCTTACTGGTTTGCTGCTCATGACTTGTTCACCTTGCTTTCTTATAGAGCCTAGGATCACCAGCCTAGGGGCAGCACCACCCACATTGTGCTGGGTCCCGCCCCATCCATCACTGGTTAAGAAAAGCCCTACGGTTTGTCTACAAGCCAATCAAATGAAGGCATTTTCTCAACTGAAGCTCCTATCTCTCTGATGACTCTAGCTTGTGTCACATGGACATATAACTAGACAGCCCATTACTCTGTAATGCCTGCACTAGGGAGGGAGAGATGGGGACTCCTGGAGCTCACTCTCCAGGCAATCTTGCCAAATCACTGAGCTCCAGGTTCAAGGAGAGATCCAGCCTCCAAATAATAAGGTAGAGGGAAGGCCAAATAGCTCATCAGTTAAGAATGTTTGCTGCTCGTCTACAGGACCTGAGTTCAGTTCCCTGCACCCTTGTAATTCCAGGTCCTGTAGATCTGATATGTTCTTCTTGCCTCCACAGACGCACACACACACACACACACACACACACACACAAAATGAATTAAGTGTAACAAAAAATGTTTTAAAGAGGACCCAGTCTATCCTCTTATCTTACAAGCTATGGGACTAAGGGAAAGTGGGTACATGCTTTAGGAGTCAAATTGGGTCATTCCGGGAATCCATATTTTCACAATGGCTTCTCCATGACCCTCATTGCAAAACCCTGTAATGAAGCTCGCAGGCTAACTAATTGCTGTGCTTCTTTTAAAATAAACAAGATCTCCATTTGTCCAAAGGCCCCAAAATAAGCTAAATGACTTCCGAAATTTCTTCCAGCCCAGGCTGTGAACTTGAGGCCACACATGGGGCTTCTGGTGGAGGCACGCTGTTGCAATTCCACCATCTAGTGGTCGAACTAGACATAGCACCTCCAGCCATTACTAATACAACTTACCTTAAATGCCCCAATAACCAGTTTCTGCAGGATGCCAAACACATGGTGGCACTGTGCTACACACTGCCTTCAGGTGGTTATGTGACACTGGAAATCGAAAGGCCTCTAGTTCTGACATCTTCAGCTCTCAACCTGGTGACTCTGTTGAGGAGAATAAGCTGAGACCTCTGGGTAAGAGGAGTGTTTATCTATGATGGGGGGGGGGGGGGGGAGCAATAGTGAAGGGCCGAGCCTGGCTCAGATCTTGAAGAATCAGAATAATTTTAATGTTGCTGTTCTACTTATCAGCCAGGAAAGATGTGACCCCTCCACAAAGTGGCAAGCCTGAGACCTGCTCCCCGGGTGGAATTCACGCCTGATGCTGTAAATAGCCCAACATCCGTGACTAGGGGGAGCACAGGCCCTAGTGATCATGCTTCAGCTGTCGTTCTGCTAAGTGGGTGCGATGTGCCCATCAAGTTACCTTCTACCGGATTTCTCCACTCTTTATACAATCCCAGATTCGCTACCTAGGGAATGGTGCCCCCCACAGTGGGTGGGTCAGCACGCCTCTCTTAATATAATCAAGAAAATCCAGACAAGCCCACAGGCCAACCTAATCCTCACTGAGCCTACCTTCCTGTGTGGTTCTAGATTGGTTCAAGTTGACAATTAACATCAACCGCCTCACCAACCCAAAAGTATTTGTGTATTTCTGTTTCTGTTGTTATTGACGGGAATTGAACCACAGACACTAGCCCAGAGCTCACCACTGAGCTACATCCCCAGCCCTTACTATGACTGTTACATTTTAATGTTCTTGAATGGGAACGGTAACTCCCACCTCCTGGGCTGCTGGGAATGGCCGTGGTCTGCTCAGCACAGGGACAGGCACCAGAGGAGGTGTTCAGGACACTGATGGTGTTTTATACTCTCTGAAGTTTGCCTTTGTCCTTAAAGGACCCTGCTCCATGATCACATCATCTCTAAGGTCCACTTTCCTCAATCCTCCCGACAGGGAGTAGAGACTGTGGGCTGTGTCAGAAGTTTGGTGCAGAATTGGGAAGAAGTGGGGGGAGGGGCAGGGACAGGGACGGACATTGCCTCCCGCTCATTCCCTCTGCTAAGGGGACTTTCCACCAAGCTGTCCTTCCTCTCTGATGGAGAGCATTCAGCTCCATGGAAACCTGAGCTGAGAACTTTGTTTACTGTCTTAAGTCCTGGGGAGGCAGAGAGCTCGGCCACACTCAGCCGTTCTTCCTTCCCCATGGCAGCTGCCCTGTGGCCCATCACTTCCCGTGAATCCATAGGGTGGGCCCCGCAGCCAGAGCCTTCCTTATGTCTCCCCATTGGAGTTAAAGGACAGGAGTTTCTTCTGTCTTCACACGGCTAAACCCCCAACACCACAAAGGGCATGTATTGGTCAACTGTATAGGAAATGCTCCTGAACGCTCCTCAGTGGACAAGATGACCGAGAAGCGGCAGCCACCTTAGATCTCCAGGACAGCTCACACGTGAGGAGACAGTATACCAGCCACTGAGAAGCGGCAGCCACCTTAGATCTCCAGGACAGCTCACACGTGAGGAGACAGTATACCAGCCACTGAGAAGCGGCAGCCACCTTAGATCTCCAGGACAGCTCACACGTGAGGAGACAGTATACCAGCGGCTTGAGTTCTTGTGGGTTTGAGCAGAACAGCAACACCAGCGTCCTGGGCCCCGCTGGGACAGAGAAGAATGAGTGCGCACCCATCTGTTGTCGGGGTTGTTATTGTTGTTACTGTTTCTAAAGATCTTAAAGATTTGTTTCCTTTTTTTTCCTTTTATGGTTGGGGCATGCTAGGGTTTTTGGGGGTTTTGTTTTGTTTCATTTTTCAAACAGGTCTCTCTATAAACCCCTGGTTGTCCTAACACTCACTATGTAGGCCAGAGTAGCCCCAGACTCACAAAGATCTGTGTGTGTGTGTGTGTGTGTGTGTGTGTGAGAGAGAGAGAGAGAGAGAGAGAGAGAGAGAGAGAGAGAGAGAGAGGTCAGAAGACGGTATTGGATCCCCTGGAGCTGGAGTTACAAGTGGGTGTGAACGTCTGATATGGATGCCAGGAACTAAATCTGGAGTCCCCGGGATGAGCAGCGAGCACTCTTGACCAGAGTCATCCCTCCAGGCCCTCAGTGCAAAGGTTCTTAACATTGCTGCAGTCATTTGAAAGTAATTGGCCCCAAAGCCTACTGGGAGTGGCACTGTTAGGAGGTGTGGTCTTATTGGAGGAAGTGTGTCACTGTGGAGGTGGCCTTTGAGGTTTCATATATGTTCAAGGCATACCCAGTGAGACAAACCATTCCTGCTGCCTGAGAGTCAGATGTAGGACTCTCAGTTCTAGCACCATGTCTGACTGCTTGCCGCCATGTGCCACCTTGATGATAATGCACTAGACCCCTGAAACTGTAAGTCACCCCATTAAATGTTTCCCTTTATAAGAGTTGCTGTGGTCATGGGCTCTTCACAGCAATAGACACCCTAATTAAGACAACAACTGAATTGATTAAAAATGGCTATCCTGCTAAAGTCTGTATTCTAGATGTTTAATCACATTTTTTAAAGGGGATCTAATGTAATTACACATACTAAGCAAGTGTTGAGCTAACACTTTTTTTTTAAAAGCAGGCTGTATGTAGCCCATGGCTCCATGTAGCCCAGACTGGCCTCAAACTCGCTATGTAACTCACCATGGTCTGATCCTCCTGCCTCTGCCTCTCTACCATGGTGATCACAAGTGTGTGTTTCCGTGTTTGATATGATTCAAAGGAGCAGAAGAAGCAAGGACCCCATAAGGGAGACTGACAGCCCCAGGTGTTCCTTTTCCCACCTTCAACTTAAGGGTGACAAAGTAGAGAAGGAGCTTTGGAGGGGGATGAGACCCCTGGGGCCTCAAGCTGCAGGCCCCTCAAGGGCCTCTTGCTCCCGTGTCTGATGCTATTACCTTTCGTCCTTGTCCCCCTGCTCCCAGATCCAACCCATTTCTCAAGAACACGAGGCCTCGGGTGACATTATCACACACGCGCACACAAATGAACTCCATCGATGGGTTTTAAAAAGCAGTCGAGGGATTGGTGAGACTCGGTGCTAGGCTGTTTATTCACAGGGAAGGCCGTAGGTCTGAGAGGTTGTGGAGCTGCGGTGTGACGTGAGTCCAAGACTCTGTGACAGCCATCACGGGTCTCTCGCTCTCTCACCCAGGACCAAGCACCTGAAGAACAAACGTGCTAGATGAAGAGAGATTGTCACCCTGCCACATCCCATGCCCTTTCACAGCCCCACATCATGGGGAGGGCCCTACACCAAGGGACTGAAGTAAAGGACATAAGTCACTTGGGGTGTCATACCCCAAGAACCTGTGCTGGGCCCAGGCCTTAGAGACCTAGGGAGAGGCAAGGGGCAGAACAGCAATGATCAAAACAGGCCATGTCCTGTTTGGCTTTTTTGTTTTGGGTTTTGCTGATGTTGTTTTGCCTGCATGAGTTGTCTGAGAAAAAGAACCTCAGTCAAGAAAATGCCTCTATCAAAGTGCCTGTAAGCGCGTTTGTAGGGGGTTGTTTTTTGTTGTTTGGTTTGGTTTTTTTGTTTTGTTTTGTTTTTTGTTTTGATTAATAATTGTGGGAAGTCCCAATCCACTAGGGGAAGCGCCACTCTGGACACCCCTGGATACCCCTAAACTATGTAAGAAAGCAGGACAAGCAAGCCATGAGGAGCAAGCCAGTAAGCAGCCTCCATGGCCCCTGCTTCAGGCCCCGCCTCCAGGTTCCTGTCCATCAAGCTCCTGCCCTGGCTCCCACAGTGATGGAGTGTGACCTGAGAGTTGCAAGCTGAATAAACCCTCTTCCCCAAGTTGCATCTGGTTGTGGTGTTTACCACAGCAATAGAACCGCTAACTAAGACAAGGCAAAAGACCAAGGGCAGGGGGCTGGGCAGGAGAGGAATGGGGCTAGAACCAGCACTAAGCTGGGAGCCCCAGGCCGCCCTCCTATCTTGGCTCCACAGACCTGGCACAGAAGACTTCTGAGCCATGTGACATAGAAAGGACCTCGAGGAAGAGGCAGAACTCACCCTTGAGAAATCTGCTCTATCCAGACATGATGTGCTTGACAAAGGCTAGGAAAGAAATCGAGAATCAGTCATACAAAGTGTCCCTCGGAGCTCCGCCCTCCTCTCCACTGCTTCCTGTCCACCCTTCCAACCTTGCCATGCCCTTTCTGTAGGTGGTAATGCTCTTACTGGAGGGTCGTGGAGAGGACAGAAGAGGGGAAAAGACCTAAACTCTGCTAGATGTCCCCTCTGTGCTGACATTAGACAGATGACATGAACGACATCATCACCATAGAGTCCCACAACTTACAAAATTGTCAGCATGCCCCCCCCATTTGAGGCTCAGAGACAGCAAGTGACTTGATCAAAGTCACACACATGGCTTATCACAAGGTCCTGGACCAATAAGATGGATCGGAGGGTACAAGCGTTTGTCACAGAAGCCTAATGACCTGAGTCCAGTCCCTCGGAACCAATGGCAGAAGGAAGTATTGATTCCTGAAAATTATCTTCTGACCTCTGAACACACATGTGTACCCACACCAACATTTATATCATACATATATACACACACAACAGTAATAATATATATTTTTTAACGCCCCTGCTGTTATATCAGATATTCACTCCCAAGATGGAAAAAAAAAACACCTCCCAGTGAGAATTTGCCACAGCCCATGGGAGATGCACATCTGCAGCCTCTGGGCTGGCCAATCCCACCCCACATTCCCCTCTTACCCTGGGCACCCTGGGAAGCCAAAAAGAACCATACCTTCATAATTGATGCAGCCATTGGCATCCTCCTGCCCAGACAACAGCTGCTCCACCTCCGCCTCGCTCATCTTCTCCCCTGGGGGTGTGGGAACGGAGTTGTAATGACAAGGGGCAGAGAAGGGGAAGGAAAAGACAGAAACACTCAAAAGGCTTAAAGTCCCCCTGGATCTGAGAAAAGTCTAATGCCAAGCCTTGGCAAAGGATTGGGAAGGTACGGCTCAAGTCTCTCAGGGCCCAGCACCAGTGGCGAATGGAAGGGAAGAAAGCTTGAGTCCACAGCAGGCCTCAGGAGTAACCCCTGGTCTGCCAACTCTTCTCTCCCACCCCTGGTGCTTGCTAGGCAAACCCACTTCCTGGGGTAGATGGCCAGGGGTTTCCCACAGAGGCCAGGGAAACAGGCCCTGGATTAGAATTTGCCAGATACAGGGACCCTTAGATAAGCCCCATCCTATGCCACTTGGCCCCTCTTAAACTTCAGCTACTTTCAGGCGGTTTTGGTCTCTGCCCAGCTGACTTACCCAGAGTAGCAAGGACGTGTCGGAGCTCCGCCCCCATCACCGTGCCGTTGCTTTCCTTGTCAAAGACCCGCAACCCCTCCACGAAGTCCTCATAGGTACCCTGCTCCTTGTTGCGGGAGATGTGCTGCAGGATGGGCAGGAACATCTCGAAATCCAGGGTCTTGGAACTCATCTCTGCATGGGCAGACAGAGAACACCACTCAAGTAGATGCTCCGGGGAGGAGAGGCCAAGGGGCCTTCCCAACCCTGACATCACCTAGGGCTTAGGGTGAGACACACCGTCGATGACAGGCAGAGTCACGGAGATAAGCCAACAGAATTGGAGGGAAAAAATGTATCCATGTAACTCTGCACCGGTTCCAGTTATTAGACCATTCAGTATTGGCGTTGAAATACTTAGACATTAATCCCACACTAACCTTCAGGCTTGGGTTTGCCCAAAAGACGCAGCACCTCTGCGTTGGTGGGGTTCTGGCCCAGGGCCCGCAGCACGTCCCCACACTGCCCATAGGTGATCTTCATCTCTCCAGTTGGAGTCCGGTCAAACAACGAAAAGGCCTCTTTGAACTCTGTAGAGAGACACGCAGCTACGGCCTCCTGCCCCGAGAGAAGGCAGCGGCTGTGACTTGCTCACTGGAGTAATTAAAGAATGTAGCAGTTCCCTTAAGCCACTGTTCCAGGCTGTTCTTGAAGCTGCTTTAACCCCATCTTCTGACAAGCAAACTCACCTGGGGACCCCATGACTTATCCAAGCACTGGTCTCTGGCTCCCTTCTCCCGGTCAGTTAGAGAATTGGCCAGTTCCCTGCTTCTCCACACCCCACATCCTTCCCCTGGTAGAGGCAAGTCGCTTATGCCTGCCAGGAAGGTTTCCCTGATTTTCAGTTTGGCTCTGCCTAGGAGAGCAGGAAAGAGCCAGGCCAGTCTCAGTTCCCTCCTGCTCCGCCCACTATCCCTGTCACTGTGAGTGTCCTGGAAGGTGACAGGACGCTGAGACAGCTTACGAAGTGATAAGACCTTTTCAAAAGTCAGCTATTATCAGTACCGCTTGTTCCCAACTGCGAGTCAGTCAAGGTGACTTTGGGGCCACAGTCAGATCACACCAGGCCTGCCGCTGATCTACCGGTGGGTTTTGGTAAAATGACACTTCTGTGGGTCCTCTGGTTCTTAGCCGTAAGAGGGGACACAGTGTTCACCTGCATATATGACTGGTAGGATCACAAAGTGTGCCAAGTGTGTGGCTAACAGGGGTAGAGAACAGACCAAGGTGGCTCCCATGTCTCCTGCCTCTGGCGCTAACTCAGTAAAAAAGAGACCTGACACACTGAACAGGTATCTAAGGGGAAAGGCCAAATTAAGACATCCCTGGGCCCTTTGTAAACAGCCTTACTTCTTCATCAGCTTGTTCATCAGGTCTCATGTAGCCTAGGCTGACCCCAAATGTGCTAGGTAGCAGAGGATAACCTGGTACCTCTGATCCTCCTGCCTCTGCCTCCCAAGTGCCAGGATTATAGAGATGTGGCACCATGTCTAGCTAATTCTCCATCTATCTGGATTTGGTTACTTTATTGGAATAATGTGAACTGGTAGGGGCCCTGAAGTCACCTCAGGCCTTTGACAAAGAAGCAGACAACCTCAAGTGACAGCACACTGTGGTAGCTAACGGGGCAGCAAAGCATCCCATGGCAGAAGCCCTGTTCTAGAAGAATATACAAATCTGGCAGGGGCAATCAGAGCAGAGTCAACAGCTGGAAGCTGGTTCCTGCGGGGGTAAAGCAGCTCAACAGCGAGCTACTGTAGAGGGACGGGGGGCCACGCTCAGTCCTTTCCAGATACTTAGAACTGCTTGCTTCCCTAAAGGCTGCATATGAATTACTTACAAATTATTCCACCGTCAAAGCAGAGTACCTCAGACTTACTTACAACTCTTCCTGCTGGGGATCCCAGTGACCACATGAAAGAGTTAATGCTTGGAATTACTACTAGGAATAACAGAGCCATTGGGGCAGGAACAACCCTATCAAGGGACAGCACACGGCAGTAATGAGGCAGCTGCCCCCTGAGACAAAGAGCCCCATGGTGGAAGCCCTGTTCTAAAAGGTTGTGCAGATCTGGCAAGGGGTCAGAGAAGAAGTCAACAGTTGGAAGCTGGTTTCTATGCGGGAGGGGGTATAAGGAAATTGGAGCCATAGCACCCAGAAAATGCAAAGCTTAGAAAAATGTGGTAACTAGCTCCAGAGAGATGGCGGATGGATGTAGACAAGATGCTGAATTATCACAAGACTTCTTAACTGGACAGAACCAAATAACCTCGCTTTGAATAAAAGAAAATTAGGTTTTATAGAAGAGACGCCTGGGCTAGAGAGATGGCTCCGTGGTTAAGAGTGCTTAAATCTGTCAGACACGATTTAAAACCCAACACCCACATCGGGCAGCTCACAAAAGCCTGTAAATCCAGCTCCAAGAGATCTGATGCCTGCTTCTGACCTCCATGAGGGCATGTGTAAGCACACATAAATAAAACGAACCAGGAAGACAAGGCGGGGGAGGGCAAACATCGTATGGCTCATCGTGGAAGAACTGGCGACAATAAAGCAGTCTCCTGATTCCCCAAGAATGCCCTTTTCACTGTAACACAACCAAACCATCAGCTGGGGCTTGGGGATGTGGCTCAGGCAGGAGAGAGCTTGCCTGGCAGGGGCGAAGTCCTGGATTCAATCCCAGCACCACATAAACCAGGTGTGGTCATACACACTTAGAACCCCAGCACTTGGGAGGTGGAGGCGGGAGAATCAGAAGTGTGGAGCTATTGTCAGTTAAAAGGGAATTTGCAGCCAGGCTGAGTTAATTAAGACCCTGTCTTAAGAGAGAGGTGAGGAAAGGAGGGAGGGAAGAAGGGAGGGAGGGAGGGAGGGAGGGAGGGAAAGAAAGAGGAAGGCAGACAGGAAGAAAATCACTCCCTAGCTACAGCTTCACTAAAAAGCAAATGAAGAGACAACACGGATGAAACGTAAAGAAGAAACCTTCGTAACCCCCAGGGAAGAGGGGGCTTCAGAGCGAGAGCGTTTAAATTTACAGAGAGCTACCCCAGCCTGGAAACCTTGCGGGAGAGCAGAACTCAAGCAGCTGTCTTGGCGAGCTTCCACCACGATTCCCGTGGGAAACGAGACGCTAATTATTGAGTGAGTTTCCAGTCCTCGCTGGTGCCGTGGGGTTGAAGTAGCTACAGATGCATGCGTTTAACTAGAAAGCCCTAAGAATTCCATGGCGTCTACAAAATTATCACCTACAGGGGCTGGAGAGATGGCTCAGAGGTTAAAAGCATTGCCTGCTCTTCCAAAGGTCCTGAGTTCAATTCCCAGCAACCACATGGTGGCTCACAACCATCTGTAATGGGGTCTGATGCCCTCTTCTGGCCTGCAGGCAAACACGCAGACAGAATATTGTATACATAATAAATAAATATTAAAAAAAATTATCACCTACAGTGAGACTCCATGGCCTATAACAGAAACAGATTCCTGTCACCAGCCTCGAAACGCATGTGCCGGTTCTCATGTTCTGTGTGTAAGTAACTGATACGGCTTTCTTAGAGGGAAACTGACAGGAGCTATCATTAACCTTACAACTCAAAGGCAGACATCTTTCACCCGGTGCTAGGGAGACCACTGGAGAAAAGATGCTAATGCCCCCTACATGGAGACAGCATGAAGGTCTCTCTGATTATTCAAGTACATCCTTGTGTGAGAAATCCCAAGATTTCTCTCTCTCTCTTTTTTTAAAGGTTATCTTTTTTAATTGCGAGGGTATGGGGTCCATGTGGGTTACAGGTGGTTGTAAACTGCTCTGGGAAATGAACTCAGGTCCTCTGCAAGAAGAGTGCACACTTCTAACCACTGAGCCATCTCTCCAGCCCCTTGAGATTTGTCCTAAAGTTGCATTGACTGATGATTTATATAAGATTGGGAAAACCTCAATTGTCTATGTTGAAAAATGAAAGAGTTGGTAACAGAGACCACAGATGGACCAAGTACCCACAAGTCACTCCTGGCCCCGCCACCAGGGAGGGTAGACATGTTGCAGACTTTCTTCATGATGAAGGAGGGAGAGCCCATTAGCTCAGGAGTGTTTCCAGTATCAAGAACAGAGAGAAGAGCTTCCAGATATCCTCACAGATTGGGGTGGGGGGATGGAGGGGGTGGGGTAAAGGTGGCAGCATCAACTGTATCTCAACCATTCTGAAAAGACAGCTAAAATCAAAGGTCTAGAGTAAGATACCCAGATTCACATCCTGGACCCACCACTGCTGGCCCCGTGAGAATGGACAAGACACCCAAAGTCTCTGAGCCTCATTTTTACTACCTGTGAAACAGCGGCAGTGATAGGTGCTATACCTCACAGGATCATTTGAAGAATGAAGTGATTTGATCCACTTAAAGCGCCCAGGACTGGGCCTGGTGGGCCTGCTGGGGTGACAAGAGGGTTGCCACAAGGACCCCTACTCCTTCTCTGGAAAACGCAAGAGAACACGGAGTCTTCAACACTCACCTTCGATCTGGTCGGCACTGAAGTCTATCTGTAGGGAAAGAAACACAGGAGTGAGGGCAGGGAATGCTGATGGCTTCCAAAGGGGAGGATCACCTCCAGCAGGCCACTACTGAAGAGGGAAGGACACCGGACCGAGTGTAAGCCAGTCTCCTGATGAACGGGCCAAAGCTGGAAATCTATGACATAGTGCACCCTTCATGGCTCTCTCAGAACTGAGAAGGGAAGCGAGAAGGGGTGGAGCTGGCAAAATGGTTCCACAATTAAGATCCATCGCTGCTCTTGCAGAGGAGCCAAATTCAGTTCCTAGCACTACATGGTGGCTCACACCATCTGAAAGTCCAGTTCCAGGGGTTCCAATGCTGCCTTCGGGACTCCAAGGGCAACAGACACGCACACGGTATACATACATACATGTGGACAAGAGAGTCATACACATAAATGAATCTTAACAAGAAATCACTGTCAAGAGGAAACAAAAGAGAAGTTAGCTACCTACACTGTAGTCCCAGAGCCTACAGTGACCCGTGTTACAGTTCCTTTGTGTCTACAGCAACTTCCTTCTCACCCTAGACAGCCATGGACAAGCCGCTCTCCCTGTCACCCCCAGCACTCCCCTAGTTCACAATGCCCTGTCTAGATGTGCTTCCTCTCTGGCTTTGGGTGCTCACTACCGTTCATTCTGGAATCCCCTCCCACCTCACTGACTGAAGCCTTCCCTTCCCCCATCCCACACCATCTTCCTCTCAGGCACTCTAGTGAGATCCTGGGTTCTTTGTTACTGCCTATCTGTGTCTATTTCAATAAAACCAGGTCCCTATCCTCCCCACGCACACACAGGGATCGAGACTTTTATTATCACTAAAGTGTTTGGTATATAGTAGATACTCAAAAATAGCGTGTTGAGGGCTGGAGAGATGGTTCAGAGGTTAAGAGCATTGCCTGCTCTTCCAAAGGTCCTGTGTTCAAAGCCCAGCAATCACCTGGTGACTCACAACCATCTGTAATGAGGTCTGGTGCCCTCCTCTGGCCTGCAGACATATACAGAGACAGAATATTGTATACATAATAAATAAATAAATAAATATTTTTTTAAAAAAAAGGAAAAAAATTAGCGTGTTGAATGAAGAAATGGATTTGGGGTGCCCACCCCCCAGCACACATGGTTGTGCCCAGGTGGGAAGTTCTGGAAACTGAACTGAGGTGACCGAGCGTGAGTCATCGTTTTAACAGTTCTGGATGACAGTTTAGTGTCTTTTCCCACTCTGCTCTGCCCTGGCCTTCCATTCCCTAGTGGTGCTGGGTGCCACCCCTGCGGCATTTCATGTGCCACCAGGCCACGCCCCACCTCTTCTTCCAGAACTGACACCACAGGGGCTCAGCCAGGAGACTACAGCCGAGAGTGGTTTTGCCAAGTGCGGAGGTAAATGGGGCAAAGCGAGGTCTACACTAACCCACCAGGGGAGAGGGAGCTTGCCTTGCTTTACGATGCTTTCTGTCCCAGGACTAGACACACAAACACACACAGATGCACTCAGCCTGACCACATGGTTATCATGATTCCATAGGCTCAGGTTTGTCTCTGCTCTCATTGCAGTCAAGGGATCTTATAAACAAAGGAACTGGGCAATATATGTGTGAGCGGGGATTGGCTCCCTGAGTGGAGGGGAGTGACAGCTGAAAGGGGGGAGAGCTCATTTGATGCCACTGGGAAGCTGTCCAGACAACAGGCACCAAATATGGAGTTTAATCTGACAAATCAGAAATAAAGGCAAGGGGGGCTCCTGGGGGCACAGATGCTCAGCTTTAGGGAAGACAGATGATGCAGGAAGCCCCCAGGTACTATGGGGGGCTTCCACTACTCTCAGTTTCCCCACAAGGAGTCACACAACCAAGTCTAGGCATGGAGCAACTTCCTTCATCCCTTTGACAAGTCAATCCTGCTAACCCCCTGGGAGGGCTAACAGGGTCTTGACTCCCCCGATAAAGGACTGTCTGAAGTCTCCGATGTGAGTTCGATCCTGAGAAGACTATAGAAGCCCACACAACTAGAGCCTTGGGTTCAGGTTCTCTGCCTGTGTGTCACAGAACCTTTTCCTGTACTTCTCATCTCCCCCCAGCCTTGTCCTGTGAGATCCCCTAGGGGGCCCCCCACTCCAGACCTGATATTAATAGTTCTTGGTTCCAGGAGCCACTTGACGGCTCCCAGCCCTGTGCCAAGTCTTCAAACTGCTCCTCTCTAGAAGCTTCAGACCCCCTCCTTCCCAGGCCCAACCCTTCTTGGTTCATTCCTTCAGCAGCTGGGACAGATGGCTGGGAGGCCTAAAATGACAGTCAGTCAACAGGGGCTCATACCAGTTCCAGGGAGGGGCGGGGGCCGTTACCAGCCAGATGAAGGGAGCAAGATGAAAGACTAAAGAAAGAAGGCCCAGCTTCCTACGCAGGGTAGAGGAGTCTCAGGCAGGAGTGAGCCCGTCAGCCTGTGGCCATGAAAGAGTGGCCCACCAGTGTAAGGCCCCAGGCTGCTCCTGTCTTCTCTGCTTCTTTCCAACTGTGTATTTATGGTGAAGGTTCCCACGCTCCGGCACACTAGAGGACCCCACTGGCTGCTCACACCCCACTCCAGCTATACCACTAGTTGCTATTACGTGTCTATTTTTCATAAACATACTCCACCTCTCGGGGCTAGAAGAATAATTTAACGGTTAAGAGCACTCGCTGTTTTTCCAGAGGACCAAGGTTTGGTCGTCACCACACACATGGCATCTCACAATCTGTAACTCCAGTTCTTCAGGACCCAACGCCCTCTTCTGGCCGTAGGCACTGCGTACATGTGTTACACAGACATACATGTGGGTAAAACACTCACACAGAGAGAATAAAATAATAGATTGTAAAAGATAGAATCATCTCCCACTTTAGGTAAAGGCTGATTTTGCTTCACCGTCGTTCCCCCACACAACGTTTTACAAAAGCTGGCGAGTTGCATCTACCACCATCTTGGATTCTGCTCCACTAATCAGGAGTGGCCTGACACCTGTGCACAGAGCAACGCCCTGTTGTTCAGAAAGCCTCTGAGTCTAGTTCTGGTTTTACTGGCCCTTGGAGCTATGACATAGGGCACGGATGCCATGGTCCTCACGTCTGTCTGGCCTGAGAGAAACAGATCCCTCAGCAACAGAGAGAATAGGAGCTGGTGCTCTCTCTACCCATACCTGATGGGCCGAGATTCACTCACCTTCACACTCTTGGGGTCAAAGGCAGAGTCCTTGGCAGGCTCAGGAGCTGGGGCAGGGGCTGGAGCAGCGGCGGCAGCTGCGGCTGGCTTGGCAGCCTCCTTCTTAGGTTCAGGTTTCTTGGGAGGCATGTTGTCTTGGGAGCTCCAGTGGAGGTGGGACCTAAAAAGGAAGCAAAAGAGGAGAGGTAGCCCCTGAGAAAGAAGAGGGAAGACTGGAAGGCCTCCCTCTGCTTTTATCCTGGGCAGGAGCCCCCACAGAGGGGCTGAGTGAGAGCGAGGGCTAGGCTGCAGGCTATAAAAGGAAGAAACAGCAGCAGGGTGCAGCTGACATCTCAGAATTGTCACCAGTTAGGGGCCACCAGTTCCCTCTCCACTCCCCCTCCCATACACACACCTCACTCCTCACAGCCTGCACCTCTGGAGCAGATGGATTCTTTCCTGCCAATTGGTGGAAACCAGAGAGGGGGCAGGAAAACAGACCCTCTCCTAAGCGCCAGAGTGGTCAGAGAGAGATGAGCTGACCTGAGCCGTTGATAACCCTCACACATAGTCCGGGGTGACTGAGGCTTTTTTTAGCCCCTCCTGAGCAGAGGCAGCCCACTACACATTCCTTTGAAGCCAAGAGCTTTTAAGCTGAGAGCCCCAGTCTCTGCCCTAGAGGCTCAACTGGCCAGGCATGGAGCCCTGAGGCAACAGCTGGCCCAGCCAGCCCTGTTGTCCCCACGCTCCCAACCCACAGGGCCAAACCCTGCATTGTCCAGGGCAGGCATCCGGGAACTCCACAGACTTCAACTCCCTAGATCCACCCTCCACCCACAGTTGTTCATTTAGCAAGTATTGCACATTTGTGCCCCAGGGGGATCCGGGTAAGAAACAGAGATATGGCAAAGTCTGGAGGCTAGAGATTAGAAACCTCAAGATCTAATGTTTGCTCGGTCTCTAACTCATTAGGCGCCACTGGAGCGTGTGTGTGTGTGTGTGTGTGTGTGTGTGTGTGTGTGTGTGTGTGTTGCTTACCATGCACCAGGTACTACTGGATTCTATTCCTATACTATCTCATTAAATCTTCCTTAATCCTAAAAGGTAGATACTATTAATATACTCAGGACACACACACACAAATAACTTGGCCAAGGTCACTCAAATGATTAGCTGTGTGATCTGGGATTGGAAGACAGGTATATCTGATTTTAATGTGTATAGTTGAATAATTTATATTACAGTCTCATTTATATGAAAAAGAAACATGGGGTGGAGGTGACAGTAGGAAGGGCAGGATGGAAACAGGGTAGAGTGATGCCCACCTGACATCCTGACACAGGGACACAGGGATCGTGAGTTTGAGGCCCGTCTAGGTTATATAGCCAGATCACAGTTCAAAAAACAGAAAGAAGGGAAGGAAGGGAATGGGAGGTGAGAACCAACCATTCAAGGAGATCTAGGGGGAGGGGAGAGGAGAATGGTAGCAGTTTCTTGGTTTTTTTTTTTTTCCACTTCCTAAAAATGAAAAATTTTTAAACAATTGTGATGTTTTGAAAAGAAAAAAAATGAAAGTCAATGATATTCAGAAAAACAGCCCCCAAAAGTCTGTCTACCACACACCTGTGTTGAGCTGGATCTTTAGACTATGCAGAGTTCACAAGATCAAAACCAAGGAAGTCAGAGCAGAACTCTGTCTTTCTAAGCCATTTCTTCACCTATAAAACAAGATTATATGAACTGAGAATATAGCACAATTGGTAGCAGGCTTACCAACGCACAAAACCCTAGGTTCGATTCTCAACGCCACATAAAACCAAACACTATGGTGACACCTGCTTGTAATCCCAGCACGCAGGAAGGGGAGGCAGGAAAATCAGAAACAGGAAGTCATCCTCAGCTTTGTAGTGAGTCTAAAGCCAGCCTGGGTTACATAAATAAAGTAAAATAATAAAATAAAATAAAGATTACCAGTTGGGAGAAGTAGAACATATCTGTAATCCCATCAAAAGGTTGACATAGGAAGACCGAGATTTCTGACCTGGGCCACATAAAAAGATTCTGTCTCAAACAACAAGAAGCCAAAATCCGTAGAATAGTCCCAGTTGAGCTCCTAAGCCTCCAGTTCCAGGTACCCTGGAGCCAAACATCTGCCCCTTCCCCAGTTCCCTAAACAGCCCCAAATCACTATGAACACTATGAACGCCTATAGTGTACCCTGGGGCTCAGATTACCTTGCGCCACACAGCCTTCCTAGAGAAGAATCTAAGACCCAGAGGGACTTTGAGATGCTCAGATGCTGTCTGCACTGGGTTGGCTAAATCAACTCCAAGTGTGTGTGCTGTCTTATACCACACTGTCCCTTCCCACGGCCTGCCTGCACCTATGCTAGTCACTGCTGAGCAAAGAAACCTTCAAGGGAAACTGAGGCCGGAAAAGTTACCAGAAGTTGCCCCCCAAACTAAAGAAAGACTGAAACTCAGTCCAGGTCCATCTCTCTTTTCAAGGTGCCTCTGCCTTCACCTTTGTCTCACTTCCCTTTCTTCTCACCTATTAGACTTGATGCCTGAAGGCCATGAAGGTGGTGCTCTAGGAAGATACCCCTGCTATCAAAGCTGTCAGCTTGAGTTCTGTCCTCAGAGTCCACCAGGTGGTAGGGAGAACTGATTCCTCAAGCTGTCTTCTGACCTCTGTTCCCACAAACACAAAGTAATTAGTCAAGCCAAGCGGTGGCGGCGCACAGATCTCTGTGAGTTCGAGGCCAGCCTGGTCTACAAGAGCTAGTTCTAGGATAGGCTCCAAAGCTACAGAGGAAACCCTGTCTCAAAAAACCAACCAACCAAACAAACAAACAAAACAAAGAAATTAGTTAATTAATCTTTTTTCAAATCCAACCCCTTGCCAACTCAAGACTTGCATCCTTTTCTATGCCTGCGAGTCCCCTCCCAGATCTCTTTCACTTGGGCTGAAGTTAGGTGTCTGGGGATGAGGAAAGAAAATAAGAAACACAATCCCTTCAGTCTCTGCTGCCCCCTCCCACTCCTCCCACTTCCAGCCTCTTTCCTTGACAAGCATCCTGGAGTGTTTGTATGGAGAAAGATCTATAGACTTCCTGGGGAAGCTAACTCACCAGCCACAGAATCTCTGTGGGCCACAGCCAGCTGGCCTCCTACATGAAACTTTCGAAACACGTTCAACAGAATCCTAGTGCCAGGACTTTCCTCTGGTACCAAGGGATAGAGAAACCAGGTCTGGGGGCTTCCCTCTACCACCAGCTGTTAAGCAGCACCCTTTCCTGTTGGGTTTGGTTTGGGTTTTTACAGTTATTTGTTTATTTTGGTTAGGGAGAGGCAAGCCATGGGCATGTGGAGGTCAGAGGACAACGTGCAGGGGTTGGTCCTCTCCTTACACCGTGTGGGTTCCAGGAATCGAACTCAGGTTTCTGGGCTTGGCAGCAGATTACTTTTGTCTACCGAACCAGCCTCCTGGCCTTTGTGTATTTAATTTGATTTGATTCTTTAATTTTTATTAAATGAATTTTATTTTCATTTTGAACTTTTTAAAGATTTTATTCTAAAATTGTGTGTGTGTGTGTGTGTGTGTGTGTGTGTGTGTGTGTGTGTGTTTATAGATGAATTTTTCTTTGGGCCACCAGCTCACAAGAAATGACACAGAGACTTATAACTAATTATAAAAGTTTGGCTTATAGCTTAGGCTTGTCCTACTAGCTCTTATAACTTAAATTAATGCATATCTTTTCTTCTGCACTCTTTTACACGGCTCAGTGACCTTTACTCTGTACTGGCCATAGCACTTCCTCTCCATCTGGCTGACGACTCCACCTTTCTTCTTCCCAGAGCTCTCCTGTCCAGAAGTCACTTCTGTACTTCCTGCCGAGCTATTGGCCGTTTAGCTCTTTATTAAACCAATCACAGTGACACATCTTCACACAGTGTACAGGAATATTCCACAACGCATGTTTACAGGTAACTATGAGCTGCTACCATGCCTGCTAGGAACTGATCCCAGGTCAACTGTAAGAGCAGTGTGTGCTCTTAACTACAGAGCCATCTCTCAGGACTCATTGGGTTGTTTTTGGTTTTGTTTTTCTGAGACAGAGTCTCACTATGTAGGATAGGCTGACCTAAAACTCATAATGTAACCCACGCTGGCCTCAGACTTATGACAATCCTCCTGTCTCAGCCTTTAAAGTACTGAGATTACAGACACAAACTATTATTCCAGGCTTCCTTGTGTGTGTTTATTTATTTATTCATGTATGTGTGTATGTCTATCTGTGTGTGTGTGTCTGTGTGTGTGTGTCTTGTGTTTGTGTGTGTCTCTCTGGTGTGTATGCCCAATTTCCACCGTATTTTCTGAGACAGAGTCTGTCACTGAACCTGGAGCTCAGTGACTGGCTAGACTGGCTGGCCATGAAACTCAGGAGATCCAACTGTCTCCAAACCACACACACCCAGGACTGAGGTTTCAAGTATGGTACAAGTGGCAGGTGAAGATCCGAATTCAGATTCTTGTTCTTGCCCTGTGTCTTAGGCACTATCGCTGGGAAGAAACACTATGACCAAGGCAACTCCTATAAAAGAAAGCATTTGATTAGGGGCTTGCTTACAGTTTCAGAGGCTTAGTTCATTGTCATCATGTCAGGGAATATGGTGACATGCACGGAGCAGCAGCTGAGAGCTAAATACCCTGATTCGCAGGCCAAGAGGTGAGGGGTGAGTCTAACACGGGCTTTCAAAAGCTCAAAGTCCACCCAATGACACACTTCCTCCAACAAGACCACACCTCCTAATCCTTCTAATCCTTTCAAATAGTGCCACTCCCTGGTGACTAAGCCTTCAAATATATGAGCCTGTGGGGGGGCGCCCTCATCCACACCACCACACCTGCAAGCACTTTACACAATGAACCATCTCCTTCCTGTGCGTTTCACATACTCGGCTTCTCACAAACATTTTCAAAGAAATAGTTTGACTATTTTACATTTTTTTTTACATAACCAATAAACAAAATCTCTCACCTGCTGACCATTTTAAACACCAACCATTTTTGTCATTCTAGAAAGAAATGGACTCACGTGAGCCTCAAAAGGCAGGCCTAGGAGGCTGTTTTACTTTTCTTGCTTTTTGGGGTGTGGCTTTGTGTTTTGTTTTGTTTTTTTAATCTGGGCAGGGAGGTGGATCAGAGGTAGATCACCTGTCCATCATTTATGAAACCCTAAGTTCAGTTCCTAGCACCATAAAAAAAAAGAGTGGGGTGGGGAGAAGGTGGGAGGAGTGGGAGGATGGGAGGGAGAGAGGGAACTAGGATTGTTTTAAATATATATAACCAGAATGGTCTGTTTTATGTGCAATAAAGTTTTTTTTTAATTATCTAGAGGGGCTGGAGAGATGTCTCTGCAGTTCACAGCAGTTGTCGCTCTTCCAGAGGATCAGAGTTTGGTTCTCAACACCCACATCAAGGGGCTCACGGCTGTTTTTAACTCCAGCTCCAGGGGACTCGATGCCGATGACCTCCTAGGGCACCAGCACTCAAGTGCACATAATCCA